AAAACAGCCTCAGGTCTCGATAATAAGTTTCAGGAATTCTATGACACTCTCATGTTTCACTTCAATAGTGCATTTCCCCATAAAAAAATAAAAACAAAAACTGAAAAAAAGTCTTCGTACACAAAGGAACTAAGAGAATTACATAACATCTTATGTGAAATGTCTCGGCTGGCAAAATCCACTGATAATGTTATAATCAAAAAAAGATATGAGGGTCTGAAAATTATATATAATCAATTAAAAAATGAAACGAAATACACATATAATAATATCAGATTAGCCACTAGCACAAACATTGTGAAGGAAAGTTGGAAGATAGAAATAAATAATGAGATGCATGATGGGAACGTCACCTACTGCATCCTGTAAATAATTGTTCAGGAAAACAAGAATCTTAACCGTACCCAGTCTTTACATATTCAAACTAATTATAGATGTTATATATTCCAGCTACGATACAACATAGATTTCACACAACAACAACACAATATTCCCAAGAATCGAGACATCCACGACTATTATACAAGACATATGAACAAAATCTATCAACCACTTTCTAGATTGACTATTGGACAGAAATCTCATAAATACCAACAAATAAAATGCTACAACAAATACTTGGAGTTATGCCCGGAACCAAACAAGACGGGTAAATTTAAGACTGAGCTACATTCATTTATCTGTAACGGCGCATTCTATTCTCTGAATGAATACCTGGCGGCATGATTATTGTAACCTATATATTATATGTGTGTATAAGTGTATATATATCGTAGAGTTTTCTTCTTTTATAATGTTTTATATTTATATTTGGGATTCGTTTGAATTTTTAGCCTTAGTTTTAAGATTTTGACTAGTCTGATAAGTATATATATGTTTAATGATGAATAAAGCTACTTACTTACTTACTTACTATTCAGCAGTACCTACTAATATTATGTTATTCACTACGAACAAGCTACTATGATAGAGAAACAAGTCGTAAAATTATGAAAATAAAGTTTGTGAAGATAGTAGTGAGGTTTTAGAAATATACACTGTAACTTTTTCCGAGTTTTTGTGATAAAAAGCAAGCCAGAAAAATTCAAAATTCTTGAAGGTAATTTTATGAAAACTGTCACTCTGTGTCACTTTACCACGATATCTCATTCATTTAAATAAATACCTTGACATAAGTCAAAATAAAGTCAATTTCCCACGGAGCAAAAATCCCCAGTCGATCATAAAATATTCATTTTGATATTTTGATCCGCCGATTAAACAATTACAGTGACAATCCTCTCGGTCTCGGAGGACACATATCAAATTGCTTACAATTACACCCCCTTGTACATGGCATTCGGAGTCATCTCATGGCTATAGATGGACCATCATTCCCCATTTAACAGTAGTCTCTGGAGGCATGGAGAAAAAATTCGGTGGGAAACTAGCAGGACATATATATTTCATATGATTAGAAAAAAGATGGTTCCAACAGTTAATTAGCAGAAACTAGAAATTATTATTGAAAATGTCTTTTTAATACCTTGTGAAACGGGGTTACTTATGCCATTTTTGATTTTTGAACATCTGTTATTTACAAATCATCGGTATAAAACATGGGTAACTAAAGTTATCCCTTATCAACTTTGATTGCAAAAATTTCAAATAAATTAAGTAAAGTGCCTTTTTGGCAAACATGAATCAGAATATATAACAAAACTATGTTTGTAATCAAGAATGTGATTAGAGAACAAACTTTTTGTGTTATCATCATCTAAGTGTAGATTTCTGGAATCGTCAATTAGTTTAATGTGGTCAAGAACTCTTGTTTAAATTTTCCCACCACTATGTCCAACATACTGAGTAGAACAATTTGGTTGTGAACAAGAAATTCTATAAACGCCTGATTTATGGAAAATTTGTACTTTATCTTTAGTATTGACTAATTTGGAAATAGGATCCATAGTATAAAATAAAAAATTATTATTAGTACAGTACCGACTGAGAATATTTGAAGAATCTTCTGAAACTGTACCTGAATATGAAATACAACAAGATTTATTGCAGTTGTTAGTAGAGATTAAACTACGATTAAGAAATTTAGTTCTGTGTTTGCTATAGATTCTTTCAATTAGATAAGCAGGGAAACCGTTATTATTACCTATTTGTCTAATAATATTCGAAATTTTCAGGTGATATCGGAATATTGAATAATCTGTGAAATAATGAATTTATTGCTGCAGATTCTTAGAAATACGGGTGACAAGAAAAAAGGGAATGATTGAATTAGAATGAGTAGGTTTTTCTCAGGAAAAATTATTTTATTGTATATCGAAGAAATTTCCGATATATTTTGAATTGTCAAACTGAAGCTCAGTGAAAAAGTTCAAGGAAGTAAACCGTCATATAGTAACTTCAATTGGCTATACGGTTGTGAATTTCACATTTACTTTTTCTGTAGTGGAATTAGGGCTGAAACCAGTAGCATCAGAACTATCTTTTCACTGATATTCTAAAGTTTTCAGTGAAGATTAGTTCGACAATCACGAACGCATCAAGTTTGAGATTTTACATTTGCAGTGATTGTTTTATTGGGTGCTTTTTTTGGAATGACATCTATTTCAAAATCGTTATTATCAGTGATATCACTCAAATTCAAAGAAAAACAATGAGTGAGTTTCGTACTGCATAATAAAAAATACGTAAGAGAGATCACTGTTTTTTTTATTGCCCTTGGTTACCCCATACATAAAGAGCTTTCAAAAAAAGTATTAAAAAACGAAACATTGAAATGAGTGGTAATGAATTGTAATAACAGCAAATGTACTGCTTGAGGTATGCTTGAAGTGTTCTGATTGAATAACGATTGAAAATAAATTGTTGGTATCGTAAGTTATGAACTTAGGCAGAATACTGATCGAATCAATATGAAAATAAACATTGCATGTACCATGTACACTCACCTTAAAATGTATATATTATCAAATAAAATCATAGAAATTATCATGAACACGGAGATGTACACGGAGATAGAAAATTGGACGTTTCGATAATTATGTCCATTTACTTCACTATTCCACATGAAAGAACTTTCGTCGGAAAAACATATATTGTGTAATAGGTTTGGGTTATTGGTCAATTTCTCGCTGCGTTTGATTCGTTAACTAGCCTTATTCTCAAAGAATGCAATTTGTAGGCTTCCAACATCCGAAAAACTATAGTAGATAGCTGATAAACCAGACGCTCTAGCTACTTATCTGATAGATTATCGATTATCCATTTGTACATGTCCTAAAACTGTTACTTCAACTCCGTCATTTCTGACAGGACGGGATACTTCATGTTTTCTGTTGTGAACACAAAACCTGAAGTTCAAAACTTCAACGACCATCCAAAATAGAGAGAGAGAGAAGACTGTTTAACGTATTGATGGCTCACGTTGTGGACTGGATGATTCGTATTATAAATTCTTGCAGCAGCTTTAGCACATTCATTATTTCGATAATAGGTTGCAATAATTTTTATTCTTTTTTCAGTAGAATAAACTATGTTGGAACACAGTGAATAAAGATGACTGAATAATAATTCGTGAAGAAGTGGCAGTGGCCAACTATCTACATTTTGTTCAGCTACAACTAGATTCAACAAAAACTACCAATGCAGAAAAAACTAACAGTGTCATCCTTTTCAAAACGTTTACTACTGATTGAATAAATTCTACAAATCTAGAAGACCTGCGACAAAGAATTGTTCGGGAATGCCGATTTCTGACTCTGGACATCTTGAATATAATGTAAGGAACGCTTTCGAAAGTAGACTGTAATATTGTATGGAACTTGATGGAGGTCATTTTGAACATTTTATCCGTCGATTGTGTTGCCATTGATATTACTTTTGTTGATTTCCTCAATAAAATGACCGACAGCGAATTTTCTGCACCAATTTAAAAAAAATACAGAGGTAATAGAAGGACAAAAGACCTTTCAAATGATGTATCGCTCGACCTCCCATGACATTAAAAAAAATAGAGGGGGTAGTTGCTGACCGCAGGGTGGTGAAGTTTCGGATATGATTTCCATATCAGAGTTAGTCCCTCTAGAAATTAAAATTGACGTGTTCTTCGGAATTTTCGATTACACGTCCGTTTCTGACTTACAGGGGGGACAAGTTTTCGTTGAAACGCCCTGTATAAAACTGTAAACTTTCACGACTGGAGATAATTGTGTCGAAGATATTTTTGGGGTTTGCTGGACGTGGTCTGTGAGTTTTCATGCCTCACGTTTCATCTACGACTGCGTCTACTCAATTGTGAAGCACATTCTACACTTCAATGATTACATAGTATTGACGAAATAACATCATGATTCATTATGGAAATTATTGGAAACATCAGCAAGTTTATCAGTTTGCATATTGAGATAAAATGACATTATGAGATTGTTTATATTTCGACAATGATTTAAATTTGTATCAACCAAAATATTGAAATCATCTGCTATTGAATATTTTCGAAGTGTTTAGCAATTTTCATTGCACAATTGTAAAATATTGGCAACAGTTGATGATGCTATATGTGTACCAAACTATACTTTGTTTATAGCTGAAATTGTTACAACACATGTGATATTTTCGTTTTCTCCAGTGATACTGACTAAAGCAATAAGTACTTAGTAGATACATTCAACTTGTAATCGAGATCTGGAACACTTTTGAAATATATAACAGCATGTGCTTTGGGAAAGGCTAATATTTAAATATTCCATAATAAAATATTGATCCATCCACTAGTTCAGAAAATTTCTCTCCTCCATCAATCAAAAACTGATGGATGATTTCCCGAAAAAATTACGAAACGCGTTCCTTGAGAAGTCAAAGCTATATCACCTAAAAAACGAGACGCATGTTGCCTTCCTTATACGCTCTGACAAGTTCTTTCACCGACATTAATAAAACAAAGTAGGCGATAAATAAAAAGATGTGTTTTCGTGTGGAAGTCTAATATCATGTGAAACACTCACCTGTACCCTTGCTTCGGTGAGATCTATCTTCATGGCAATTTCCTCTCTGGTGTAGATATCAGGATAATGGGTCTCTTGAAAAGCCCGCTCCAGTTCTTTTAGTTGCGCTGAGGTAAAGGTGGTTCGTATCCTTCTTTGTTTTCGCTTCTCGGTAAGGACGCCGTCGTGACCAGGATAAACTTTGTATGGTAATCCTCCTGAAATAGTAATTGTCTTTAACATTTTTCTTGTAGTCATGAGTATACTCGTATTTAAGATAACTGAGGTTTATGTTATCGCTGAGTGGGAAGCACTTTTTCCAACATTGTTCGAAGGAGTTGAGTATGAATTTCAAAATGTTTCTTAAAAAAATGATATCGGTAAGTGATTGGAGAAATATTGGCCTTAAAATAGTTTTTCTGAATGAACCCAACAAAAAACAACCTTAGAGAAACAGTATGGAAGTTTCACCAGCCTATGTTATGGAAGTCCAGACGGTGTACTTATTCAAGCCGAAATGCAGCAAGCAAATTATTTGTGACTGTTACTAAAAATGGAAAGTCAATAGAGCCTTTCAAATAGCTGTGTGGAAAAAGGGTTTATTGCCTGAACTTGCCTGAACTTGCATTCATACTTATTGATGTACAAGTAAGACATAGTTTTATGTATTACCCAAAAATACTATTACACTCAAATTTATAGCTTCATTAGACAGCTGTAGATTGCACATAAAAAAACAATAAAGTATTAGTATTTACACTGAATTAAATCTGAAACTCCTGTTCAAACATTGAAATAAAGAGCATCTACTTCTCGTAGTTCATGACAATCAAACTTCATTACACTTTTCAACAAATTTTGTTTTGCATCAGCACAGCAAGCATAATAACCTCCATTATCATTACGTTTGAGAGCTGATGATAATAAAAATATTAATATCACAGATGTCACAACCAATGAAAATGCAGGTGCGTGGACACAATTTTCAGGTGTTTGTTTTTTTTACAGATTCCTCAAATATTTTTTCAAGAATGTTGGATATTTATCAGTCACAAACCTGTCATTTGAGTTTATCCTTCATTGAGGAAATGATATTACGATGGACAATAAATTAATGGAAGAATGTAAACTTTCATGGCCGGAAATAACTGTGTGGAAGCTATTTTCTGGGTTTTTCGACCGTGGTGACTATGATGCTGATATTTGACTCTAGTTTTATATCATTATTAGTGGACTCAAAATATCTCTCGAGCCAAAAATCCAATTCATAATGGAACGAGAAACCCAAGGGATTCTAATCTTCTTGGATGTTCTTGTGAAGATGGTAAATTGGGCCACTGAGTGTACAGAAAGCCAACACACACAGACTAGTACATGAACAAAAACTTTAACCACCAGGCACAACAAAAGAGAGGGGTAATTAAAACGTATCTGTGAACGTGAAAGCTTTATTGAGAAACTCAATCATCAAAAAAATGCATTCAAAGAGGAAAGATACAGCATGGGAAAATTCGAGCGGACCATACGACCCAGGAGAAAGAACGAGAAAGTAACCCCAGCTAAGCTGGTCAATGGAAAAGCTTTCTTTTCCTGTGTTCAACATGTTACAGACCGAATTGGGAGAATATTAGAGAAACACGACGTGGAACAAATACTTAGACCAACAGAAAGTATCAGACAAAGTCTTAGGTCAGCTAAGGACTGAATAGAACCCTAACAACACCCGGGGTATACCGGATTCTTTGTAGGGTTTGTCTACATTGGAACCACTAGAAGAAGTGACATAAAAGAAATTGTCGACTCGGACAAACCAACTTATCAGAACATGCTATTAATAAAGAAGGCACTCACATTATCCCATTCGGAGATACAGTAATACCCGATAAAACTCCAAAACTGTATATAGAGAGGCAATAGAAATTTAAAAACATAGGGATAACTTCAATAAAAAATAAAAGACAATGAACATTAATAGCTGTCCTCAAAAGCACACAGACAAGGTCAAGTAATCCGATTAATAGAAATGAAATGAATACAACCAGTTGCTAACTAACTGAACTCTTTCGAAGGTTTATGTTACGCAGTAACTTTTCAGTGTGTGTGGCAGTATTTATGAATACAAACAGTTGCTATCTAACCGAAATCTTTCGAAGGTTTATATTACGCAGTAACTTTTCAGTTTGTATGGCAGTATTTATGAATACGACCAGTTGCTAACTAACTGAACGCTTTCAAAAGTTCATATTACGCAGTAACTCTTCAGTTTGTGTGGCAGTATTTGTGAATATGACCAGTTGCTAACTAACTGAATTCTTTCAAACGTTTATATTACGCAGTAACTTTTCAGTTTCTATGGGTGTATTTATGAATATGACCAGTTGCTAACTAAGTAAACTCTTTCAAAGGTGTATATTATGCAGTAACTTTTCAGTTTGCCCTTTATTATACTTTAGCCAATTTTCAATTGGTCTCTATTTATTCTTCAGATTGTTGAGGATGAGATACTTAAAAGACATCAAGGAAAACTACTTCGAATTATGAACATCAAATTATACGAAAATCACACTTTTTTGATAAATTGATGGATGTAGCCGTTACTATGTGGTAGGAGATCATGATAAACCTTATTGTTTAAGTTTGAAAATGTCCATATAGGACGAAACTGCAGTAACGTCAGTTACAAATAAAAGTGGTAAAAAACATAGAAATTTTCATTTTCCTCTTCAACACTTTTTTGAGGTGACTATGAATATTCGTAATGTAATTGAAACAGATATCTCACACAGTGTAATATTTGAAATAGTTTCTCTAATTCGGACTTCCATTGTCTACTATATAAAATGATTTGAAATTCCTGAAACAACTAAAAAAAGAAAAATTAAAAATGAATAGCTGAAAATTACAATTATATTAATCAAAATGAACCTGAAATGACATGATAGTGAAATAAAATACAAGTAAAAATAGAACAATTGAATAAATAAAAATAAAAATAAAGAAATGAAAAAAGAAAAAAATAAAAACTGGAGAGATTCCAAGTCACGTTAGTTCACTTATTTCTACTTGTATTTTATTTCACTATCATTTCATTTCAGGTTTATTTTGCTTAATATAATTGTTATTTTCAGCTATTCATTTTTAATTATTCTTTTTTTAGTTGTTTCAGGGATCTCAAATCATTTTATATAGTAGACAATGGAAGTCCAAACTAGTGAAATTCATCATGAAACATTGTCAATCACCTTCAAACAAATTTGAAATAGTATTGTTATAAAATTCCACTTACAACAAAATATTTCAATATCCAGGTGAAATTCATCAATTTCAGGAGTAAACAATTGTTCTCAACTCCTTTTTGGAACTAGATAACTTTGAAAAACTCAATCATTGCGAAACATTTACGAATGTCACTAGCGGAGACAAATCTGCTCGGTCACCATGACAGTTCGTTCAAACATTCATACAACAATATCATTCATTTCGTTAGATATCTGGCATAACAACTTTTCTACGTTTCCTCTACATTTATATAATAATTCAACCCAGCAAAAAGGACACTAACTAGCTATTTAGCCTCTATGTCTGAGGCGGACATTTTCAATGCGTAAAGAAGGGAGAATTTGGATCGATATACTTAGGCGTTTCTTCCTGCTTTCAAATTTCCTGGGAAATACTGCCACACTAAATTGCAATGGCGGTAAGGGTTGAAATTTGTTCCGTTTCATCAATCTGAGATATTCGAATACAAGTTAGTAAATATTGAATAAGTGAGGAATTATAGTTATGAAAATTCCGATTTTTTCAGGAGTGTACTAATAGTTGATTCAAATTGGAAAAGGAATATCTTAGGAAAGAGTAGTTAAAAAACGTTTTTTGGCTTTTTATTTCTCCATCTTTGAATTTCTAGGCTAGACACTTGTCTTCTCATCAGTAGCGTTTTGGATAAAGTTACAAAACGACTTTACGCCACCGAAATAGACGACCAGTCCCAACTGAAGGAATTTGAATTACATAAAAAAGGAAATATTTTTAGAAAATCCTGGTTTTTCCAGCAAAAAAACTTTTTGGTATTATATTTCTCCACATTTAAATAGTAAATGTGGGAATTTTCAGAGATGTGCAGAAAGAAAACAACTACTACGAAAACTATTTTCAGAAATGTGTAGAAGTTTCTTTCAGATAGAAACCGGGAGAAAAAACCGTTTCTTAACAACTACTTTCACATGAACATTGAGTTACTCGGCAAAAAACGTTTTCAAAATCAGTTTGTATTTCAAATATTTGTTGTTATGGAATCAAAACAGATATCATTCTTATTAACCCTACATAATCTAATATATGAAAGGGAATTGATATAAAATTCCATTTACATGAAACACTATCTTTCTTGATGGAGTACTTTGAAGTTTCGGAACAAGACACTTGTCTTTTGTCTTTTTTTTATTACAAAAAACGCGTCAACCGAATTGGTTATTAGCGTTACAGTTCAGGTTACATTTTTAACTATAATTTACTTGTTATTTGAATAGAGTTCAGAAAAGACAATAATTTATCAAATGCACAATTAGGGCCTAGTGTATTCTTCAAAGATAATGGTACGCCATGATCATTCCTCTGCTGGTTAAAGAGCGGACAATCGGTGAGGAGATGCTTCAAAGTCAGATTCACGTGGCACGCTTCGCATGTTGGTTCTTTCTTGTTTTGAAGCAATATACTCGTGAGTTAGGCGTGTGTGGCCTAACCGTAAACGGATTAGGACTACTTGGTCCCTTCGATGTTTAGGTAATGTAGTCCATGGTTTCACGAAACTTTACACTTCTCTTAGCTTTGATGTTGAACCTTACCAACGGGTTTGCCATGCGACTAGCATGGTCTCTTTGATTGAATTCTGCTTGTCGCCTGTCATCGTTTTGGTTACAATTTCAGAAATTGCGCTGGTTACTGCTTCTTTGGCTAGTGCATCAACTTCTTCATTACCTCGTATCCCTATGTGCGATAGGATCCATATGAAATTTATATTTTTACCATTTATCTCTGCTTCATAGCACACCTAAAGGGTTCCTGGGATACAGTTGCTCCAGTATACTCAGAGAGCTGAGGGAATCCGTTAGAAAAGTATAATTTTTGTGAGTGGATGCGTTGAAGAATAGAGTGGCACGGTATATGGCATATAGTTTCCCTGTAGAAACAGAGCTACATTGTGGAAGTTTCATTTGAA